CAGGCAGGCAGGCAGGCAGGCAGGCAGGCAGGCAGGCAGGCAGGCAGACAGACAGACAGACAGACAGACAGACAGACAGACAGACATACATACATACATACATACATACAGACATCCACACATCCACACATACATGCACACATCCATGCACACATCCACACATACATACATGCAATGGGAATGGGCAACAGGCAGTTCAACTACCTCCGCGAGGGCTGCAACCAGCTGTCGCGGAGGCCTTGGGGGTGAACACAGCTGTCGATCCTCGATCAACAAAGAAATCGCAGGTGCTTTGGAATAGTGGGTTCGACAGCTTGTAGCAGAAACCACAGAGGTCGAACAGCAACTACATCTGATTTTTTAGGCCCTGCTGTCATTTTTTTTCACAATGGAGGTCTACTGGTTCCTCTACCCAGCAATGACATGTCTGTGACTTTGTTCTTTGTGGACATAAATTTGTCCTGACACTCTGGCCACCTCTGGCCACCAATTCCCTGAAGGATGTGAAGCATTTTCCTTCTGACCTTCAGCCAATATGGACTCAAAAGGTGTGACTGCTAAAGCCTGAACACCAGTCGTCCACGTTTACATTTCTGGTCAGTGCTCTCCCTGTGAGCCACACCGCATCTTCCAACATCTGAAAAACAACTCTCGACACAAATACCTACCAAATTGGGATGTGGATCTCATCTCCACCTCTTGTTTCACGGCCCTCTTTGGAATCCGATCATGGACGTCCACTTTCGGTCCGCTTTTCGGCGCGGTGCAGGCTCCGGGTGTGCCGGGTGTGCCAGCGGCACCTCGAGCCAAAGGCCAAGACCGTCAGGAGACAAAGGAGACAGGTGAAGGAAGGATGAGACATGGAAACCGGGACGGACAGGCGCCTTGACTTGTCCTTTTGTTCTGGAACTTTTTGATGGGCAGAACATGGTAGAACACCCAAGTTCTGGGCGTTTAGGTGTGAAGGCTTTGCAACCACAGCTGAAAGTTGCAATACTAAGGGGATTTGGAGGCCTTTCCGCCATGTTGAAAGAAGCACTGAGACAACGCGTGAGGAGCTCCAATGCTTGTGCCAGAGGCTGGAGCTTGCTTTTGGAACTCGGCGGTTTTTGCGAAGGTGGCTTTGTTCTTCCTCTGGCACAAACAAGGTCTTGACTGGTGCAAAAAGCTTTGTGGCTCTTCGCCCTACATGAATGAAACACCCCACAGAAAACGAGTAAAACGCCTCAGTATCGAGCACATTCAGGGACGTTCCATACCAAAAGTTTGGAGCTGGTGATTGCGGAAAGGATGTAGGCAAGCTTCTCGCATTTCCAATACTTCCAGCCGAGCGGAGTCTACGCAGATTGTTCTTGCCTTGACCAGGCAAGGACTCTCCTTGTCCTTTAAGGAGGAGGCACCAGGGAAGGGCAGAGGCTGAAGCCGAGGGTGTGAGAAACTGCTGTTTTCTTTGCAGACATGCAATTCATTTGACAGAAGGCAACTACAGGAGGAAGATCGTCTTCCCAAGCAACACTATGACCATCACACATGGCGAACATTCAGGGAGCACAAGAACAAGCACTGTGTGCCTTCACATGCACTGTGTGCCGACACCTTCACACGCGCCAACGGGCTTCGACCAGCGCGCCGTTTTCGACCTCGTCCGAATGGGGGTTGTGCGGGTCACCGGATGGTGGTTCGGCGTGACAGGGTTCTGGCCCCAGTCACCGACCGGAGTTTCGTGCGTGCGGGGGCCGAGCGAACAGGGGCATGTCCGGTTGTGACAAGAAAGGACTAAAGTCACTGCAGCTGGTCTTCTGCTAACATAGTCAAAGAAAATCACAGATGTATGTATCACTTATATATATATATATTTTCTTTTTTTAACGGGGACATTTAATTTGATAAAGATCTTGTTTGGACAGACTAGCTTGCCGCCATGTATGTTTGCATACACTTTGTTTGTTGTGGTTGTACATGCTTGCATTTCTCACCCTGCACAAAGTTCCATGTGAAGGAACTGCAGACAAGATTCTTGATAGCAACGGGTGCCCAAAGCCCACTGGGGACTAAGAATGGCTGACATCTATGACATTCCTTCATTGACGAAGCCTCCCGGATTGGCGTCCGGCCAATGCGGAACTCGGCCAAGGTCAGCTGTTGTACAGGGCATCGCCTATCCTCAGGAGCGAGAGCTTGGTTTTGATGTTCATAGCTGAAGAAAGTGGAATGCTTTCTGGTGATGCGCTACACCAACAAATATGGCGACGAAGCATGCTTGTCCCCCCCCAACCAAAGCCAGCTCCGCAAGAAATAGCTGTATGTTCATCTTCTGCAGCTCTGTCATTTTATGTTCTAGATTGGGTGTTCTTTGGTATGGTATCGTTTGTACGTTTCGCAGGGCGGCCCCGCACCATGCTGGCCCTGTCTGCGCCCCAGGGCGCAGCCTGCACCTTCGACCAAGGCGAGCGGGAAGACCAAGCACGACGCCAAGGACGAGAGCTGCCGCTCTGCCGAGAGAGGAGGCGTGAGTCCCCCCAACGACGGTGCGGCCGAGCAAACGGCCAGGACTTGGCTGCCTTCTATGCCTTGCAGCAGATGAAGTGAGTCCCGAGGAAGCGCCCCGAACAAACTGCCCGGACTACGTAGATCATAATTAGATGATCATAGTAGATGATACATGCATACCTTTGTTGCTATGTTTCATGGTGATCTGACGGCTTACACACTTTGCATTCGAAGCATTGATCAATATCTCATACTTGACCTAGCTTTTGGATCCAGAGAGCTGTGCGCTGCCTTGTGTTTGTGCCTTTGTGTAGCAAGCATACCGACCGCTATGTGCGCACTGCGTGTGCAGCCGTAGCTGTGAGGAGTCGGAGAAAGAGTGCGGTGTGTCATGAGAGGGGAATAGGGTTTGCACTTGCACTCTCCGGTTTGTCAGGGTTGGGTTGTGCAGTACTGAGGATCCCAGGATTTGATGGTCAGAGGCTTCTTGGAGAAGCTTCGGGGCACGTATTGAGACAGACCAACAAGCAAAGTTCAACGTGTTTGTGCTTTTCAACCGTTTCGGTTTGTCGCTTGCCCATATGAGTGCTGCGGTTGTTCCCTGGCCTGGGACGGTTGCGCATCGAACACTTTGGTCAGTTTGCTTGGCATCCGCCGGTCGGCTGGGTGATTGTGCCAGGTCGTCGAGAGAAGCCTGTGAAGTGGCCAAAGGGCACGTGCGCAGCTCAGTCGAAGTGCTGCGCACGTGTGTTGGGTTGGAACGGTTGGAACATGTTTGAACATCGGCATGCAACCGGGTGTGACATGGTGTGACCTTTTTTTGGTGTTCATCTTATTCACATATATATTTATATATATATATAATATATATTTTTTTTCTCTTCGCATTCCTCTTCTTGGTTCTAGCAGTTTGCAAGCAGGCCATGCTTTTGTGGAGCGCTGTTCTGAGCTCTGTCCTGCTTGAGGTCAGACAAGATCTCAAAGAAGTTTTCCTGGCTGAAAGGCTGGTCATTTAGCTCCTCTGATCCACATCACCTTCGCCAGCACTCAGCCAGGCACGGAATGGAATTGGAACAGTTGGCGGAATGTCAAGTTCCAGAAGGACGACCAATGCGCCGTGGGGGTTGGGATCAAAGGCATGGGAGTGACGGCGGAAGTGGGAACCCCTGTCACTTCATCCCCACCTGGTTCAGTGTTGGTAGCCTGGTAGTTGCTAGTTGAAGATGAGGATTTGTTTGTTCACTGTAGTTGCGATTGGTCATTTTGGATGAATATTGATGAATGATCTTTCATGAAACATTTTGCCCTCCACTCATCTCCGTGTAAGAATAGATCATTTACTTAAATTGAAGAACCCACCAGAAACCATGAAAAAGACCAGAATTCATTTAATTTAGAACCCGAAGAGTCAAGAGGCTACCCCATCCATTTCTTCGTGATTGTTTTTCTCGTTCTCATCCGCCCTTCGAAACATGTCTTCAGGACGGCACCTTTGATGCTCCGACCAATGATTGCCACAGAGGGCAATGCAAATGGTCTGCCAACAAGGGCAAGGCCTGGAACCCTGCGGACGACGGGTGAGTCTTCGGCGAAACCGACGCAACGACGCCGAGCGAAACGACGCACAGCGTTTAGCCGCCGGAGCTGCTGCAGTCGGCATGGGAGTTGAACGCTGCAAGCCGTGCAAGTTCTGCGCGCATCCATTTTTGCCCAAGGAGGGACTCGGCACTTACACACTCTATGCATCCCTATGCCCTTGCGCATATATATATATATACATACACATAAATACATTGTGCAAAAGTATGATCCGACCAGGTATAAGTATATCTACACAGATGCTGAAACGTCTACGCATGTTTTTCCACGTCGTTGGTCGGTTCGCACCGACCATCTCATCCCGGCACGATAGACACAGATCCCCCGATCATCCAACTGCGCAAACGGGGTGGAACGGATCATTCAAAGCTGCTGCTGCTGCTGCGGCTGCTCTGGTATGCTCAACTCTGTAGTTGCACCCAAGAGGAGGCTTGATATGTTGGTGGGAAGAAGATTGGGTTTTGGGGTGTTGGCACACCTTATCACCTGAACAACTCTCCCCAATCACAACCTTGCCAGCGTTTGCAAGTCCTGCCCTACTTCAGCAACCTGAGCAAGTGAGTCATTCCATTTTAAGATCTCACTTCCTTCCCCACGACGTCAGGTCTTCGTACTTTGGGGTCAAGCTGGACTTCATGAGCTAGAAATTGTGCGAAGCTCAAGCAGCCTTTTGTGCGAACCTCGGTTTCCCATGTTTTGAACCTAGGTCGGGGAGGTCCCGACAGAGCAGAATCAGCAGAAGATGCAAGGCTTGCAAATGAGGCGCGGTCAATTTGCTTGCCAGATGGATATCACTTCTCCAGTAAACTGCCAGGGGCGTTCGCGTTTCTGATGGTGATAGATGCTCTGCTACGTTTCAAAGGGCTTCTTGGCAATGCAGGCGTAGGCAAGAAACCATTGAGCAGCCCTTTCTTGTAGCTAACACGCATACTTGTATGTCAGGAACATGAATTCTTATTTTGTTCTTGAATCCGCAGGCCTTTTTCGACGGCCCCTTTCATATTTGAGGATGGCACTTACAGACACGATTGATATGTCGGTTAATCATGGTCAAGTCTCGACTCTGTACATTGTCTTACGGGTTGAACTTCAACACGTTCCACACGTGGGATCTTTAAACGTACCATATGGTGCTTTGGAGTAGCACTGAAGAGCTGGTAAATTCTTCTCAGTGGTGCTTCTTCGGTATGGAAGGTGCGGACGAGCTTTGGCTCAGGCCATTTCCTCTTTATCATTTCTTGGCACATTTCCTCTGACCGATATCGATCCTGAGCGGCTGTGCTATTTCTGAAATCTCTGGAGCAAGAGGTGGAGGCGAAGACCCCTCAAAACAAATTGACTGGATCGCGCAGCTGTACTGCAAATGGTTGCCTCCTCATATTCCTGGGTTCAGTGATTTAGTTCCAGCTGTTGTTGTGAATGCCAAGAAGACCTGTTTGACCTCACAACACACCTGAAAGTACTTTAAGATCCTGACATAGCATAACTACCCATACAGCACCCAATAGGATACGATGCTATACTATACAGCATCAATGCACTTAGTCAAAGCTATTTCTTTCATGATACCGTGAGACTACATGGAGCATACCAATACATCGAGGTCTTCGACCATGAAGCTGCAGAGCTTGACAAGGTCCCGTGGGGGGAGTTCTGGTTTGCCTTGTCTTTTTTGATGGGTCAGGGAGCGGTCTGATCCTCCAACAACCCCGGTTTGCAGCCTGATCCTGTTTTGAAACATCTTTCCAGATACAGCAATTAGATGAGTAGATTAAATAGCCCTTTTGCATTGCTATGGGTGGACTGAACAGCCGGAGTTCCTCGTCCCACCTGGGCAAATTTCACCCCTCATGGACTTATATAGGGTTTGCAACTTTTCGATCTTTGATCACAGCTGGAACATGGCGTAGCTGGCCTCTGGAATGCCGGCAAATTATTTGCAGTGGAACACGGCGCTCTCCAAGGCCTGAGCTGCCCCCCCGAAACCCGCCATATTTCCATCCTGTATACAGGGAATTTCCAAGAATTAATTTTACATGTTTTGGTGGAAGCCCCCCTAGCAAAGAATTGGGATCGAATTCAAACCTTGATTAAACATATGCATTCTTTCTTGCAGAGCATTCCAAAGTATCCCCAAACCAAGAAGGCTAACATGTCTAAAAGCTTATTTTTGACGTGTTCTCTTGCAGATCCGCCCTGCGTCGAAACGCAGGATCTATATGAGATCCTTGGTCTGCAGGATGACGCTGATGAGGCAGACATCAAGAAGGCGTGCTGCTGAAACAAGTGAGTCCTTCACAAAGACGAACACATGGCATTTTTTCTCGGCACACGGCAATACTTCTGTCAAATAGGCTTAGATGGGGGCCCGGGAGGTTCTTCCGTGTCAGACCGATGTTCCGACCCGGCCCGCTGGGGGCTAAGCGGGCCGGTCGTGGCCGGTCGTTGCCGAGGTCTACCGAAAGCTTTCCATCAAATACCATCCTGACAAGAATCCGGATGAGGAGTCAAAGAGGACTGTGCGGGAAAAGGACCGGAATGGACCAGTGAAGTAATTAGAAGTATTCAGGCTGCACATCCAACAGTTGTTGCTGGCAGAAGCTTTCAGGGACCCAAAGTGCTTGGATCCCACAGTATAGGTTCCGCGAAGACTACAAAAAGGCTCTAAATAGGTCCCCACTGCAAGACACCTTTGGGTCTATGTACTGCTTTGGTTTGAGGGCAAGGACCAATTACTATATATAGTATAGTATTATCTATATACGGTCTTCCTTTTGGGGATCAGCGTTTACGCCAGTCTTCGTTGCATCCGTTTCGTGCCGTCCGCCTCGCCAGGAAATTTGCAGAGGTCCGGGATGCATATGAGGTGCGCCGAAAAAGAAACACCCGCGATGGGGGCCTCTTTGGACCTGAAGGGTGGCGTTTTTGCTTTTTTTTTTTGGCTGCCTCTTAGAGTATCTATAGATGTATCTAGAATATCTATGAATATCTGGCATTTGCCCAACCTGCGACGTTCCCCCATTTTGTAATGAACGGTCATGAATGTCAGGATTTGGGGCTAAACCATGGGCGAACCTCAAAAACGATAGCATGCGATAGCCTTGTTGAACCATGTTCTTTTTGTTATTATAACAAAAGACAAAGACGTATGGAAGACGCTCGCTTTTTTTTGAGAGACCAGCATTGGAGGAGAGGTGATGAAGGATATCAAAAAAGATTCAAAACCCTCTCAAGCCAGCGGTGTGAAGAAAGCATCGTTCGGAGCTCGAGTTTTGCCAAAGGAGCTCTTTGTCTCGTCAAACTCTTTCGTATGAAAATGGTACCAAATGATTAGTGCATGAGCTATCCTGCGTCCATTCTAGCGTACTAGTAGCTAGTAGCTTACTAGTCGCTTAGTTACAGTAGTTAAGTAGGCGCCTACTTAATCAAGTAGGGAGGGGAGCGGGTTAAAAAAACAGGTGCATTTGTTCAGTCCAGAGACTTCCAATTCAAATCGAACGGTCAGATCCTCGACGAACACCGTGAGCTCCGTCAGATCCTGAACGACCCAGACAAGAAGATCCTCTACGACACTGGTGGGATGGAGGCATGCGTGATGCATGGAGGAACTGAACGCAGCACACGGTGGTCTGTGAGGTTCCCATCGCTAACCAGCAGGAAACGATGCCTTCCAACAACCTGCAAAGGGGTCGGAGATGTTTGGTTGAATGGTTTGTTAGCTTGCAGCGATGAGTTGACAAGAGGGTTCTTCTAGCGAAGTGTTCATGAGACCATGGTATATCAATTACTAATGATGCGTAGAGACCCTCTGGTTTTGAACATGACACCATTCGAATGCCCGTATCACCCCACTGCTTCAAGGCCGTCAAGAAGGCCGAGAAGGGCGAAATCGAGAAGGGCTGCTTGGCGAAGAGCTTCGCTGCTTCGGCCTCGATGGGGTGCGTTCGTTGATTCGTCGCATCACGGTCGCCCAAGGGGGCGAACCACACATACTGTACCCCCACGGAGGTACAGTCAACCGCCCGATGGTACAGTCAACCGTTGGCTTCCCACTGAACTCATGCATGGCTCTGGCCAGAGCATTTGGTCTATGCACCAGAACACTTATGCACCAGAACACTTAATAGCAGCTCTTTCATGGACAGGAGATGACAGGAGTGTCAGGGATGCGTTGCAGAACTATCCAGAAGATTCCAGAACTCTTGAGAAGCCATGCTTTTTCGTTCTGATGCACCAATTTCATCCAATTTCCACTGATTTCTTTCCTGGTCATTCATGCACAGTCGGAACAAGCTGATTCGACTGAAATCTCGAAGCTGTCTATTGAGCGCACACGCAAACCAACTCTAGATAATTTGGAGGCCATCGCTAGTAGGTTGGAGCACATCGCCAGTAGGTTGGAAGCCATCGCTTCTAGGTTGGAGGCCATTGCTAGTCTATAGTAGGTGAAACCAACTCTACGATGCGGCCGAAGCTGTCAAGACCTTTAAGTCCTGTGCAACTGCGACGATTCGAAGGCGACGTTCAGATTCGAGGGGCGGCACCAGGGGCCAAGCAACGCATCGAACGTCCATCAGTGGCCCCTCAGTTGAGACCACCTCGAACATGCCTTAAACCCTGACATGCTGAGACAAAAAGTGAACACACACACACACTGTTTCGTCCAAGATTGGTTCAACTCTTCATCTGATCATGGAGGGAGCTGTTTTCGAAAGTTCACAAGACACATCAATATACACGTCCGTGCTAATTTGGTTGATGCATGTTGATACATTGGGAACAGTGGAAGCTGGATTGTCGGCTTTGGCACAGAATCGGGGAACCACCGAATCTCCCGTGCCGTGGCTCCCGATTCGGCTGCAGAAACATCGAATTTCCTCCCGTGTTCCGAAGTGTCTCTTCTAAGGCGAAGATGCCCGAGCCAATCTGGCGGTCGGAAGTCGCAGTTGCTGTTCTTTTTTTGTTCTCGGTCGAAGGATTGGTTCCCATTTTGGCTATAGTCTATAGTTGGTCCGGTTTTTTCCAGTAAGGGCAGGCTTTGTTTTTTGGGTTGCGAAAAGCATCATTACTAGCCTGATGGATGGTCAGATCCTTGAGGGCACGTTTAAGCAAAAGCAAAAGGCACGTGTTGAAGCACATGAAACTGACTTTTTATAAGAGGATTCTGCAGAGCCAAGCAGGATTCTCTGCTTGGCTTCAAAAACGACCTGATTTGGGCGTTTGCACCGGGTTCACCTGAAGGCATCGAACGTTGCAGCTAGGTACTGTGTAAGCAAATCAAGAAGATTCAAGACGTTTGTTTTACGCCTACCCGGAGCCGGTCGAGAATTCTTTTCAGATCGGAACAGTGAAACGGTCGACAAACACCAGAGGTCAACCCTTCTCAAGTAGTGAGTTTGCCAATTTCACTCTGTTTGGCGCTCTTCCTCGGCTTATGAAAAGGGCAGTTTCGTTTAGCTTCTACCATATCTACTCTCCCCGTCTGCTTGTGGCAACCCGGAAGAACCCCGCACTTCACCTTCGGTCGAACGGAGTACGTCCGACTGTGATTTGCACGAAAAACCCGAGAGAGCACTGCTAGGTTTTCTGGTGATTTCAAAGGACCTTCAGTTAAGAGTCCCTTCTCCGTCCCTTTGAAGGCAGTGAAAGAAACGCTATGTTTCAGAATGGGGTGGGTCACACGAGCTTTGGATCTCCCTTCCAGCTGCGGGATGAGCTCAAGGTGAGTCTCGAGGACCTCTACAATGGCGGCGGCCGACAAGCTGCTTGGCGTACCTCTCGATGTACTGAGTGCCTGAGAAAAATGAACACCCAAGACAGGCTGTCTTGCACATGCAGCATGATATAGTATGATGATGTATGATGTATAATGATGTATATATATATATATATAATATAAATGTATGCTAACCGCCCGGTACCTAGGATTCAGGCACAGACTGCGCAATTTTGCAGCACTCAAAGATAGGATGAGGCGTCTCATTGCCGTATGAGCCCCATATCATCATAGTAGAGTTGTGTCCCTGTTTACCTCATACCATGCTTGGCAATATTATGTAGAATCCTTGTCCTAGTAACATCCGCAGTGCAGCAAACTTGCATCTATATAAGCAAATCCGTGAAACAACACTAAAGCACAACAACATCACTAAAAGATCTAAAAGGCAGCCTTTACTCCTTTATGCAAATAGGTTCATTTAGTAAAGCCTTCATCTTTGCAAGAGTGTGTTTGTTTGTAGAAAACTATGTTTCTCAATCGGCATGCGAGACATTTTTTCGAGCTATATTATTTCATTCAATGTTACCCTGGTGATGCCATTTTGGTGCAAAGACCGACCTGCAAGCAAAAACAAATGGACTTGAAACCCACTTCTTTCAAAGAAAAACACATGGTTACCTTCAAGGATTCTTTTGTGAGCTTCATACAAGTTCAAAGGAGTTCATGTCTCTCAAACATGGTGTAGCTGGAAGTGTCTGCTTGCCCACCCAGGAAGATCTTGTTTCTCAACGTGTTCAATTCCATACAAAATGCGGAGTGTTTTTCACAAAGAAAGCGTTTTCAATTAGAAGACACCTGCTCCCAAATAAAACCACCTGTTTTTCGAATAGTTGCATGCTTGTAAATCGTGTGTGTCAAGCTGCAATAATGCGCCCACAGGCAGGAAGTTTCTTGCTCAGAAGCAGGTATGCAATTCTACAGAAAAAGGCTAGCAGGAACACGCTTCTCTTGATACAGATGGCAGTGAGCAAAGTGAGCAAAACAAAACACCAAGCCTTTGTTTGGGCTGCACTGTATCGTAGGATTGTTTGTTGTGCATGTTTTTTGTTTTGGAGAAGTATGTGTTCTTTGTTTGACTCGTTTGAAATCTTTGGTTCGGCATATGCTTGTCGAAATGGTCAGATGTGAGAGCACTATGATTTATTGTTGAACATGGTGATATGCCTTCATGTGTGGTACCTTCCCCCTGGGTAGTTGTGCAAGTGCTTCATTTCCGGCAAACCTAGGTATCTGGGGGGACCATATATTATGTATATATATATATGACACAGACACACGCACACATAATCACACACACACACACACATGTGGCCCCACATCAAATAAACCTCGGGATATAGAGCCAATAACAATGAATTCAGACTTATCAAACCCCCAAAGAGACAAACACCAAAAACTATGATCCAGTCTAGGCCAGACCAAGGCTTCGTTCATATGAGGTAGTTGTCACAAGTGGAGTGCACATGAAATATTGTGCTTTGCATTCTTCTATTTAATTTGTCCTACTCCTCATAACTCGACTTCATATATTAGCTAAACTTATAAACGACAAAAGAACATCAGGATGTTTTTAGCAGGGCAATCGAAGAAGAGGAGCTGAGCTAACCACAAATTCAGCACACTGACCAAGGAGGGAAAAGGCATTAATTGAGAAGAGGCGCACCTAATTAAAAACTGGCAGCGGCTCTACTAGGGGTGGTGGGTAAGAGTAGGAGCAGTCATTCCTCTCGCATGTGATCCAACTCCTTTAGTTTTGTTGAACTTGGGAACAAGCAAACCCTGCAAACTCTGACAACTACTAGAAAAGAACAGTCTGTTTAGGCTACGAAGAGTTTCCTGAGGGGATAGGAAACATGCTATGTATTTTTATGTTCAACGATATTTGACACATATATATAATATGGAACAGTAGAAACCTACTGTCTGGAGCAATAGACAGAAGAGTCTAACTAACGGCAGTACTGGAGACAAAAACGCCAAGAAGGAAAACACCCACTGATTAAGTAGGGAAAGATGCTAATTGACGAGCTCTATTTGCCACAGGCAAAACGCAGTCCAAATGTCGCAGACGTATTTGCTTTTTGACTTTAGCTTCCACCTTGTCCAAAACCAAGAAACATACACGACAACAGGAACGCCAAAGGAAGCATTGTTTGCATGAGTAGAAGCTAATCAATCCTCTTGATTCTGGTTTAGTTTAGTATTTTTTAAAGCTTTTCTACTCTATTTTGCTTTAAAGATCTTAATGTTCTTGATTTCTTTGGTGCTAAATTTTCACCCCACATGTGATATAGAAAAGTTAAGATAGGCACATACAACGTATTGGAGCAATAGACAACTATGAAAAACCTGTTGAGACTGGAAAGACCTTGTAGGGAAGAGTGTTGGGGGGAGACGGGAGTTGTATAAATGTACGATCTTGTAAATCAATTGTGTCAGGAGTGAAATAGTCGAATAAGAGCTTACCAAAGGCTTACCAATAGTTGACAAAACGCCAACAAGGACAGAGCCACTGCTTAAGTAAGTGTATGGCTAAGTTCAGTAGGGGAATGGCCACCAAGGAAGAAAGCAACTACAAAACAAACCAAACATACACATACAAAAAATGAAGCAACAATTAGTAAAACACTGGATTGATTTGGTCCACATCATAATCATCGTTTTCTTTTTTTGCTTGGTTGTTTATTTTTGGTTGGGCAGGCTGTCACATAGTAAGAGCTGAGGCTCAACCCTCAGCTTGTACAAAAATCATCAACGATTGCAGTGTTTGTACCCAATCTTTCTCTTGGCCCTCTGAATCTCATTGGTGGGGTAAGAGCTGGATCGCCCCCGCCCTTTTGAGACACAGGAACATGGGAAAGACCTGGGAGCCAAAAGACATGGAGATTGATTGGGAACGTTTGGCGGATTTCTTCAAGATTTGTGGACCAGTCGGCCTGGCAGAGTTTCGACATGCCCATGAAGTCGTGAACCGCTGAACGTAACAAAGACGCGCCCGGTTCAGGCCGTTCACGGCGACTCGAAGCGTCGTTGGGGCTGCGGTCAAACTTCTATATAGGGCTGCACCCAGAGGCGACGGACCCACACCAACTGGTACATGTCGGTTCTGTGCAAAACCCTAGTTGTGAGGGTCAAAACCCTAGTTATGAGGATCCAATCCAATTTCAATGCAATCCAATCCATGTGTTTTTTGTTTTGTTTTCCTTGGTTGTTTCTTGCAAATCTCCGATCTATGTCATGGCCACCCTCGGAGGCCCTCAGGAAAAGAGCATACCAGGCCCTCATGGCTTGGTCGTTTTCGGTGTCGACCGAGGCTGAGATCCAGCGACGGGTCGTGTGCCGGGGGTGTCGGGCCTGGGCGCACAGTGAAGCGTAGTGAAGAGAGGTCGTTGAAGTCCCAGGTAGGTGGTGTGGCAAGCGTTTACATTACATTTGGTGGTCCCCAAATAGATATTGGCACGGATTCCAATGCATTCTCAGTGGGGATCTACGAACTTCTATCTCTTTGGGGGTCTCTCTCTATATATATGATTATATGTATATATACACATACCAGTGACCAGAACCTCTATTATATACATTATATATAAGGAAGGCGGCTTGGCCATGGCGAGTCTTTCGATTCTGAATCACTTTGGGTTGTCTTGCTGAATTGTGGGAGGGGGATACTGCACAGCGTAGCCAGCGTAACAGTAGAACATGTGCTGTGAGCCTTTTGCACAGAGAGTTTCTGCAGAGTTTGTCGGTTTGTCCCAGCACATTGCAAATTCACAAGGACAAATGTTTGAAAGGAGTAGGGGCGTGTGTTGGTTGGTGCCTTTCTTGAAGTTCACAGGGTGTTGCAAATGGAATCAATGTTTTCATCCCCAGACACCGAAAAGCCCTCACACACACATGACCGCCATACACTGCCGAAAAACAACTCGCATGGGGAGACTTGCCCAACTTGCTGGATTTGCTCCGCGCACTCCCAGGTGAAACCGGATTCCCCCAAATGTCAAGGCTGTGGCCGCTGCCGGCCTCCCAGCGGAGTAGAGGGCTGGACATTATGTAGAGGGCTGGACAAGCGCTGCCGTTGTGTAGACTTGGAATTGGCCAGCCGGAAAAGCAACGCCTTGACATGTCTTAATATGCAATTGGATGCAATTGGGCATTGGCGCTTTGCCAGTCCAACCAAGAGGTTTCTTGGGTGTCGACGAAGTCTTGTCTCCGACGACGTATGCTTCCATCGAAGGGAGGGTCGAGCGGTCGTTCACGCTTGTTGAGGGCCAGCGCTCACACCGTGGCTCCGTGTCTCTAGCGGTTTTCTCAATCCAGACCATCCATGTGTGGAATATATAGTTGCCTACCTTGGGGTCATATATGGGGTCAATGTAACTATTCCAGTCCCGTGGATGGTCTGTACCCAGGAGTCCTTCGAAGTCCTTTCAATGGACATGGATGTTGGAAATGGAGACAGGCTGAAGTTCTTGGGTGGAGGGTGGCAGATCTCTTCTAGAAGCATGGTCATGTGGATAGGCTACATTTTCCTACCAACCTCAGATCGCCTTTCCCAAAAATGTTGTAACTTTTTGGAGGCCAAGTGCAGGATAACTACAGGGTCCAAGAATTACGGGCTGACGACATTTAAGGCTCAGCAGCAGTTTGCAACTCGGTACGAGGTTTTTTTCGCCCGAGGGATTGCCTTGCCTTGCAGCGCACTGGTTCATGGCTGGTGAGCTCCTGATTGTGGTAAAGAATACATTTATCGATATTGAGCCGGAGGACACGTGACACGTTTGTAGTGGATCGCAGGCCGTGGGATAACTGCCTTCTGTTCAAGCTCGTTACAAGAATACTCTGCACACCGTCGGACCGTTCCATTTACGTCAATCTTTCCTCCCTGCACCTCATGATATCAGACATTTGTGCTGGGGCAACCAGGGGAACGCATCTTAATTATTCCGAGTTTAAAAGCCTTCAATGTAGCAGTTATGCGACCAGCTTTTAACCGTTTAACCTCCCAGACATCAAGTGTTACTGCAGACGCTTAAGTTGAAGTGGTCGCACTGCTCTTGTACGTGCCAGTTCAGCAAAGTGGCAGGATGCTTCGTCCTTCTATTGTTCAGACCTCTGATTCTATGGTTGGGTTCGGACAAGCTTGACACGTGCATGGATCATGACATGATTCAGGGAGTCCTCCGCAGACCTCACCGCTCGCAGGAGAAGTCGCTGCGGTGGAATCGCTCTTGGTCTTGTGGCGACCAGCGGCTGCCCATTGACCAGACTTTTGCTTCATCGACTCTGTGCGCACCTTTCGGAAGGGATGAATGCTCTCCTGACCTGGAGGGCCTGGAGGGCACCGAGGGCGCAAGCCTAGGAGGTCCGGTTGAACAGACCGACACCCCAGGCAGTGCAGATGAAGCTCAAGAGAACCCGACAGTGGGTGCTACCTTGAGTTTGGCAAAACACAACTCAGGGGAGTGTAGCCCATGTGTGTTTTTTGCCAGCATGTATGGATGTAATTCGATGACTTGTGAGTTTTGCCATTTGAGCCATCGTGACGCCGGCAAGCGTCCACGGCCGCGCAAGCAAGCTCGAGATACTTACAAGGAGATGCTACGAGGTATTTTTGAGAAGAAACAGGACCGACATTCGTGACATTGATGCCATCGCAGATCTTTTGCTGTAAAATAGCTGGAAGGGTGTGGAGGCCCAAGCATCTAGGATTACTCTTTCAGACACTATACATGAATCAGTGAATCACGAGAACAAGAGAGCGGTGTATATATATATATATATATTGTATTTAAAGGCTTACGCCTAACAGCCGGGCGCCGGCCCACTTGGGTCTGTGTAGGGCTGGGTCGGGTGCACGTTAAGCTATCGGGGGCGTACTGGGCCCTGGGTGGTGCCAAGGTGCGAAACTGGTCCGCGTCGGAGATGGGGGCCCTATATTGAGCAAAGTTAAGCTATCTGGTGCGCATCTTGGCCCTAGGTTGGGCCAAGTTGGGCCCATGTGATCTATGTTGGGCACATCTTGGGCCCATGTTGAGCCTATGTTGAGCCTATGTCGGCCTATGTTAGGCCTATGTTGGCATATGTTTGCCCAGGTTGGGCCTATGTTGGCCCCATGTTGGCCCTATGTTGAGCCATCTTGGAGGCTATGTTGTGCATATGTTGGGGATATGTTGGCTATCTTGGGCCTATGTTGAGGATATGTTAGGAAATGTAAGTCGTCTGGAGGGCCTCTACCCACAAAATGTCGATTAAGCCTGTCCGCCCGGCGCGCATTACCGACACCACCCTTGAAAAACACAGCATTTTTGCATTTTTCCCTTTTCCCCCCGTCGTACTTCGATATGCGCAATAAACCCTGTAAAACACAGTGTTTTTTATACCTCACACACACGATACACTGTAAATTACAGGGGCTTCAGTGACCCGGTGGTCCCCCCGTTTTGGTGACGAGGGTCGGCGGCAGCCGGCGCGACCGTCTATAACCTTCGGTTACCACCGAAGGCCCTCCGGGCAGGGCACGGGCTTCGTGGCCGGCGCCCGGATTTACCAGGCTACCGCCTGCAGCCGCCGACCCCCAAGGGATAGAACCTTAGCGCTAGCCTTGCTCTATGTTAGCCTTAGCCTTAAGCCTTAGCCTTAGCCTTAAGAGTGCAGACCCAACCCAGCACCACCAAAGCAGGTACCCAAAAAGTC